AAAAATAAATTGTTCTTATGATCAGAAATCTTTTTTTTTTTTTCTAATTTGAAGGATTTCCTCTTTTTTTTAAGGTTTTGTTTTTGCCTTTTAGTGTAGACATGGAAAAATTAAAAAATGAAAAATTTTCAGGACCAAGTTGCAGAAAAGCACTACTCATTATGAAGACCCTGAAATTTGTTTGTAAAACCCAAAATGCAAGTGTTTAAAAATTAGGATCTCAGAACAATACTCATTGCACACATAGAGTATTCACATACAGCAGTGTCTCTTACAATGTCTCTTACATGCCTGATTTTGGTTTACAGCAGAGTAGACGGCTACTCTGTTGTGCGGTGTTTATTGTGTATATCTGAAAGACAGCCTGCAGAAAGAAACAGTCAGAAGGTTAGGAAATAATAAATGCAAATAGTCCTATGTAGCACCTGAAGGTAAAAGTCTACACAGTTGGAGTGCAGGATGTGTTGGATCTGCAGAGAAAATTATGCTTGGCAGTTTAGCCTTGTTGTGTTTTCGCTAAACCACATCATGATGGATGAATATAGGATAGACTGAATGATGCTGGTGTAGAAGATGAACTACAACTGTCATGGTTTTGGTTCTGTTTTAAGTTTTCAATTTTTTTCAAATTTCCATTTTGTTTTTTATTCTAGTTGTTTTTGGGTGTATTTGAGTTCTTATGTATTTCTTGTTTACCCCCTGTTGCCCCCTTGTGTCAGTCTCCTTCCCCTAGTTCCCTCCTAGATTCTTGCATCCTCACCTGCTCCTTGTCAGCTCATTAGCCCAGTCTTTGTTCAGTCTCCCATTTATACTCCTCTTGTGCAGTTCCTCAGTGCTGGTTTCTCATCGTTTCTTTGCTCCTCATGTGTGTTTTCCATGACATCCTCTGGTTTTTGGTTTCCTGTATTTTGTTATTTTGGGATTTTTCTTCAGTTGCCTTTGGCTATTAAATCTGCAAGAAACCACCTCAGATTCCATCTCTGCATTTGGGTCCTCTAAAAACCTACACACAACCTGAAAAAAACAGTTGTCAGAGAAAGTACAGAATGTGCAGTTTATACACAGGCTGATATTTTGGGGCCGTAATACTCAGCTATACATGTCTATAAATCCAGATGAAACTAACCCACTACATAGACTACAGGCATGTTCTGAAGACATAAAATCTGGATGACCCTTAACCATCTGCTTCTGAATGCGGACAAAACACAAGTTATATTCTTTGGACTAGAGTCTTTGAAAAAGAAGCTGATTAGTCAGTCACTCAATTGGCCGGGAATAAAACGAAAACAAAAAAAAAAAGAAAAAAAATCTTGTTTTTATTTTTGATTAAGACTTAAAAAAATATTTGCAAAAATCAAAAATCGTTTTTGCAAAAATCAAAAATTGTTTTTGCATGGCTGATTCTGAGAAACTAATCCAATGCATTTTTTTTTACATCAAGTGTGGGCTATTGTAATTCTTTACCATCAGGAAGTCAACAAACTGTAGTGAAAACCCTTCAGCTGATCCAAAAGCAGCCGGAGTGCTGATGAAAATTACAGCATTATCTGATGATAATAATATGCGAAGTGAAACTTTATTTTGGGGAAGGAGAAAATATTCCTGAAGGTTATTATAAGTGGTCAGAAAGGAGAGGGTTGTGAGGAAATACTGCTGTTCCTTTACATTCAATGCCATATTGAAGATAGCGTTATGCATGGAGCTGCCTGTTATGTCAGGCAGCTTTCTATTGGTGAATACCGTATCTGATGTTCTGAAAGTATGCTCACAGGGGAACTTCTGAGACTATGGTGTTTTACCATTGGCTGTCATGGGAAACCTAAGATTAGTCCACAAGACAGAGGAGATTGCTACTTTATTCTGCTTCCACGGGAGATACAGAGACACGAGTATCATGTGGTTGACAAAGACGTGGTTAGATGGATTTGTCCCGAACAAAGAGGTTTCCCTGGATGGCTTTAAACTTATCCGCACAGACAGGACTTTAGCAGGGAGTGGAAAAAAAGTCAAGGGGGGGTTGGCGATGTTTGTGAATGACAGATGGTGCAGCGTGGCCCCTGTTTAAGCGAAGAAACAGATATGCCCCCCGGAGTTGGAGCTACTCTCGGTGAGCATGAGACTGTACTATCTTTCACGAGAGTTTGTAAAACAAGGGATGATAAAACCTTGGACCTTTTTTATGCAAACATTAAAAATGCCTGCACTTCTGCCCATAAGAAACTGAGGGATTGTTTTAGAACCACAGGCTGGAGCATGTTCCAAAGCTTACATGGTGACGACTTCAGCAGCCTGACCGAATATATCCCTGACGACACGACCTTCTGTGCGAAGAGCACCGGACGTCTCCTGAGCTGAAAGTCCTCCTGAACCAAAAAAAGGGCTTTCAACCCAGGGGACAGAGAATAGCAGCGTAGAGTTCAGCGAGAACTTCAATGGAGGATCAGGACGGCAAAGAAGGACTATGGGAGGAAGATAGAGGAACAGCTGGAACAAAATAACATCAGAGATGTGTTGAGTGGTCTCAAGAACATCTCCGGCTTGACCCCCTCACACAAGCCCACTCCCTGTCCTCAACTCTCAACGTGTCTACAACCCCCAGGTCACCAGTGACCTACCCTCGCCACTCTCACCAGTCCCCAACCAACTAACACCCTCTATCCTGCCTCTCTCCCCCCTCACATTCACTTCGATGCAGCCAACTGAAGTGACTGAAACAGAGTAAGGCCTCTGGACCGGAAGGCTGCTGAGGAACTGTGCTGATGAGCTCTGCGAGGTCCTCAGCCACATCTACAACCCGAGCCTCAGCCTGGGGATGTCCCCACTCTCTGGAAGACCTCTTGTTTGGTACCGGTTCCCAAAACGCCCCATGCCAAAGAACCGGCCCACTTTAGACCAGTCACCCTGGCCTCTCCCCTGATGAAGACCATGGATCGCCTCATCCCAGCTCACCTGTGCACCATAGTGAGCCCACCCTGGACCCGCTGCAGTTTGCTTACTGACCTGACATCGGAGAGGAGGATGCCCATTATCTACCTGCTGCAGCGGGCGCGCATCAACCTGAAGACCACCGGGAGCGAAGTGAGAGTCATTTTATTTGACTTATCGAGCACTTGTATCTTATCGAGCAAAGATTGTTGCATTTGTAACAAAAAAGTTATTTTTTCCCCCATAAAATCCTGTCTGGTGGGCCTAGCTATAGTTTTGCCAAGCTAAGTTTTAAAACATAATCTTTATGTAACTTTAGATTAATTTAATTTACCTTCTCCATAAATGGCAGATGACTTTCTGACGATTTATTTTAGTTTTTGAGTCGCAATGTCAATGTAAAAACTTTGCAACAGGCATACCTATAAAAAGATCCTAGAAAGATCCCCACTCTATTACTGAAAACTCAGAAACACAAGAAAACACTTAGAGTGGCTAACTACATAACATGCATATTAATTCACACATATCAGTTAAAGGTATAGTGGAGGATTTTTGCAAATTCTTGAAAAGATATACCCTCTCCACTTAAAAAAATAAATGCACAAGCACAACCCTGTACCTGCTTGAGCATGCAGCCCATTTCTCCTCGTGTACGCTCTGTTTAAAAGTTGCTGTTTGCATCGTTCCTATTAGCTTAATTTCCCAAAAAAATTGCAATTTTTTCACTATGTCAAACTCACCACCAGGAAGTGAAAATGGGGACGAGCACGTAGGACGGCCTCATGTAAACATATCACCAGAATGATTGACAGTTAGGAGGAACACTTATTTTGATGATCCACCCAGAAAAGAACATCCTCCAATATACCTTTAAACAAACCTCTACAGAAGAAAGCCAGGGTGCCTCCAGACGGCATGCAAAACCAGTCAGGCCCTTGATTATATCTGAATCTTCTTGATGTGAAGCAAAGATACAAACAGCTGACATACTAAGCACATCAGGTTAAAACTGAATAAAAAAAGATACTATATGAAAAATTAAATATGCAAACAGGGCTGGAACAAGCAACACAAAAAGCATATCAGTCCCCAAAGAGAGTTTAGCTTTTCAATAAGTAGATATGAAGTTGGAGATTCTTTAAAGCGATGCTTTGTTTAGTCTATTCCTGTTTTCAGTTAAGTAAAGAGATTGATAGTAACCTTAAGATACGTTTTGTAACAGTTTGTTATCAGATTTCTTCCAGCTAATGAATGAGTGCTTCATTGAAAAATCTGGTTTTAATTGTCATATATTTTAATTATTTTGATGTTCCTACGTATTGTTTTCATGTTTCCATAGAACTTTCTACCACTTTTTTATATATTTTTAATTTTTTTCAACCATTGTTTTTCTTTTGATTTACTAGAAGATGAATCTGTTGAATGTAAAAAAATAGAAAATTCAAAAGCCAGTCTAAACAGTGTTATTTATTAATATGAAAGGATAGATAAAAATTATTTCAATGATTTTCTGTCTAAAATAAAATCCAAGCCTGCATACAAACATCCAAAAAAACTGACTTCAATAAAATATATTTAGATTGAGAAGAGACTAAAGGAAATAACACAGGCAACTTTACTTTTAGTGTCTGAATATTGGAAAGCATTCATACACTAGAATAATATAGTTATAAATAACTTTGTCTCTGCTTTTGGGGGTCATTTCTGTTTAAATGAGGTTTACATCATTGACTATTAATTTATATATTTTCGAAATTGTTACTTGCACCGTTCATGATTGACCAACAAGTGGCGCTGTTGCACAATAAAATAGCCAATCATCCAAATTAATCTGGCTTCCACCTTTTTCCTGTCTGAACTGATTGACCAGATTTATTTTGTTGGAGCTGCTTTTATAATCAAGATCTCTTCTTCTCTTTATAAAATGTTCTTACTTATCATCTGAAACATGTCCTTATGATGAGAGGGAAATATTATACTATTACTGAAAGTGCAAAGGATCATTGAATATACAAAGAATGGGCAAGATGTTCAGAGGTTAGGAGATAGCTACTGTAGCTGGGGAATTATTCACATTATTTAAGTAAAATCTGGAGTTAAAACAGTCAATATTCTGACTGGAAGTGGTGTTTCAGATTTGATAAATGTAGAGCATTTAAAGATGCATACATGCGCTTTTGGAAAGAAAAATAAAAGATAAGAAAACAAGCAATAAATCTCCATATAATATATCCACAGAATAGAACAAATACACACAGACTAAATACTCTACGCATAGAAAAAAGTGTCCACCACTCAGAGCTTTCTCAAGGCATTTGAATGGAAATCTGCTCACAGGAACTTTAGCAGTTGACAAGAAATATGAGTAATAAGACAGAAGCGGAAATCCGAATGCAGCAGCTCTTTTTTTGTAGTACATTCAATGTAAAATGTTGGCATGCTGTAGTTAAAGGAGAAATACAGACATTGTGGTGATTAAGTGAAACACCTATTTATAAAATCTAACATCCCACATTACATAACATTACCAAAGCTAAACAGACACATGACTTTCATTTTGAAAAACTGTGCATGACATTGTACTGCAATAAACAGTGACTCCCACTGTTAGATCATAACAGAGGTGAATCGAGGACAAGGCTATAAGGAACCAAGATTGTCTGAGTACAAGGGCGGCCCCTTAAGGACACAGAAGCTGTCTGTAGGAATCAAGTCCTCAAAACCTACTGGGATGAGATTTAGACTGGAAAGAAAAACAAAGTAAATAATGTTGATAAGGGAAATCAATATTTTAAAAAGTAGTCTGAACTCCAAACTGATATAGTTTATTAGTCATGACTGTTTGTCTTGAGAGGGACTCACTCACTCTTTAACGATAACAAACATAAACCTACAAATGACAAAAAATTGCTGGAGAGATGGATGACCTGGCTGATGAACGGAAGAACCAGACAGTAAGCAATGAGAAAAAATAAAAGTTTAAGCACAGAGACAGGGAGGAAGATGAAAAAGAAAACAGATGCGTCAAACAAAGACAATGTGGAGCAGATTTGGCAGAATTAAGGCAGGGAAGCTGAGGGAGGAGGACTAATTATCATAAATAGATATGCTAAGAGTAAATGGCTCCACTGTGAGATCAATAAATTCAATCAATCAATAAAACAAGAATACTTTACTGCCAGTTTTACAATCAATGCCAGAAGCACTCAGCTTAAGTTAAAAGAATCACCAGAAAATAAATGGAAATTACAGAAAGTCTGTCCCAATAGAAAGTCAATAAAGTTGTAATCAATTGGCTGATTTAAGGTTAGGGTTTCGTATCCACCAATGTTATGGTTAGCGTTCAGGGGAGGGGATAAAGTTAAATTAGGTTTAGATATTAAATCCATTTACCTTAAATTTAGATGCCCCTTACAAAAAGGAAGAAAACAAGTCAATTTTTCCCTGTGAACTTCTAGGGTTGATTCTAAAAATGGCGGCTCCCGGCAAATACAGTACATATCCTCTCATCAACACTAAAAAAAAACATAAAGAAACTATCAATCCAAGGGGGAAGAGCCAGTAGAAATCTCAAGAAAAAGTTCCAAAGGTACAGAAAAGAGAGCACTTGAATAAACTGAGAAACTCAATACAAAAATGAATATAACAAAACCTTCGAACCTGATTAAAAAACAAAACAAAAAAGACAACAACAAAGAATCGATGAAAAAATAAACAGACAAGAAAACAGAAACCAACTGTGGATGACAACATTTTTAGACAAAACATGTTTACATATTCTTTATATATTTATAGCTAATTGGAATTATAATGTTCAAGAAACAATCTGATTAGATGTAAAAAAGAAAAAAAAAAGAAAATTATTATTAAGCCTTTTTTTATTAAGTACAAGTAATCAACAAGCATGTTGACCCCATACATAAAGTCAAAGAAATAAAGAAATACATAAAATATGTTTGCACAACCAAGCAACCTAAAGCTTAGATTATTATATCAGAGATTTTATCAGCAAAATATTATCAAATGCTTTTTTTTTAAAGAAAAAGTTAATAAATTGGGGCTGCTCAGCGCAGCAGTGGGTAGCACTGCTGCCATTGTCAGGAGTTTCTCTCCGGGTACTCCGGCTTCCTCCCACAGTCCAAAAACATGTACCGTATGTAGGGATAAAATGTAACAGCAGGGATAAAATGTGACAGAAAATGGATGGTTATCAAGTTAATTGCCAGTAGCACCAAGAGACCAGGGAGGCAGGTTGGAGGCAGCATGTTTTGAATGGGGCACATAAAAAGCATAAAAAAACAAAAAATAGGGCAGTAATTTATTATTTAAAATATGTAAAGTGAGCAAGGGATCCAAAGAACCACTTGCAGCTCTGCTCGAATGAAGTGAAATTTCTCTCATCATTTTAAAATAAAATAAAATAAATTAACTTTATTGATCTCACAATGGAGAAATTAACTATGCATTTAACCCACCCCCTTTGGGGAGCGGTGGGCTGCCACTGTGCAGCTACCGGGGAGTAATCAGAGGTTAAGGGTCTTGCTCGGAGACCCAGAGTGGCAGTCAGTGGGAGTGGGTTTCAAACTCAGAACCTTAGGATTCCAAGGCTTATGCCCTAACCTCTAGGCTGCCACATTTTGTTTCACTATATGTTGTTCAAATTGAAAATATGCATTATTGTCCTAAGAATTTAAATTTTACCGAAAAATAAAAAATAACTAACCATGGAAATAGCAACTAAAATATTTTGTTTCTAAATACATATCTACTAAAAGTTGATGAAGATTCTCAGTTATCCAGGTCGTAGTCATTCCGTAAAAGATTTCAAATCTTGGGAACCTAGTCCAGTGGATGTTTTCTTTTTCTTTTTATTTTTTTATTATTTTTTTTTTTTTTACTTTTACGGAATATCTACTAAAAGATTTAAAAAAATAGTTATTCTGTGGAATACATTCATAATTCTGAAATATTATAATCAGTTACTGTATGTGTCAATGCA